TAATAATTAAGGGAAGTCACCATAAAAGATATACTTTAATTCGTACGAAAATTAGTTTTTCGCCGACACTCAAAGGTTCGAAGTAATTCAACATTTGAGAGAAATGAAAGATTCACATTACATTTTGAATAACGCACGTTATAAAATATATGTTTTATATGGGAAGTAAAATTGCCACCAAAAAATTGCACTCTTGAAATGAAAGAATTATATATACTGTAAAATCCTTCTTTCTATTAAACTTTTTGCAAAACGGATGTAGGTATAAAAATTCATATATATATCTTTCAGTCATCATGCTTTACAAAATTATTATAGTATGTATACATTTTTATAAATTAGGGAACTATATAGAATATAGATGATATTAATTTTGACAAGATTTCTCTCTTAAGGTAAGAGTGTCCTTTTTGACGTCTATTTTAGGACAGGCTATCCAGGTAGAAGTCTACCTCGATTTGTCGAGATTAAATACAGGGCCTAGGTAAAAAAATCCAGTTTGAAATATCTGTCTAAGTCCAGAATACACCCTAGAAATTTACCTTTATTTTACCTTTAATTTACTTTTATTTTATAAAAAATAATCGGAAAAATCTGCGTGGGTTCAAGATTGGCACTGACATATTTCTCCCAAATTAGAATAAATATGAGACTATATATGGGGCCAAGATTGAATAATCTAGCTTATAGAAATAATTATAATACAAATAAACCAAATATTTAAAAAATTATAGGTCCCAATTAGACTCGAAATAATTTTTCTACAAATTCTGGGCGTAATCTTGAGCTCACCCGGATTCTGCGATAGGGCCTGTACGATTTAGGCGTCCCAAACTTTACACAGGTTCTAGTTAGATTTTTCACTTGGATTCCAGAAATATTTTTAAAAGAATATATGGAGCCTGATTATTTCCAGATAAAATCTCTATTTGGGTATTCTAAAAATAAAATGGGAAAATTCTTAAAGCGCGTGGAGAATACAATTTTTGTTCAGCGTGAGAGAATTAAGACGAGAGAGGGAGAGAGAATGATTTTGTGTTAAATGTCCGCGAGCTGTCAGAACCGGGCACATTGTCAAACGCGGAACAATCGCGCGGTATTTTTCGCACGATTACTCGAGAGGTTTGCGCGAGGTTATCTACTCGTACATGTCGAACGGGATGAAATCGATCGGTTTAACGTGCTCGAAACTTTAAACGAGAGAAAAAGAGAGTAATCGTGGATTGTCATTCATAGGCGCAGCGCCGGCAAAGTAATTTGATTAACGCCGCGATACAGAATAACGCGCTCGTTTCAAAATGTCACTCGCGCCGACGATTACACGAATTGCCGGCAATATTGGATGCCCCACGAGTTGCGTCCAATTCGCCGCGACGCAGCCTATAGGAAAATTAACTTGTCAAATTTCAATGAAAAAGACCGATAATCGTACATAATTTCACTCGATTGATTAACTTTGATAGCTGAAAATTTTAACTCTCTACAAACTTGATACTTTTCAATGTGTCATCGCTAGCTTCGAAATTATTATAGCATATAAGGCTATAAGAAACGTCATACAAGTCAAGCAGCTGATAAAAGCATTGAATGATATTTATATTATATAACATTAAATAATAAATATATAGAGTCGTTTAATAATTTATATAATTTGATAAGATAAAATTATAAGTATGATATATGATGTATATTTTCGTTTGTCTGTTTCGAAAGAGAAAAAAATGATGTATAATAAAATATATACGTGACACAAAAAACTACCTGTCAATTATTTTTAATTATAAACTCTGTAAAAAGTTTCATACACATATTATGGAACCAACGAAAATTATTTGACTCGGATAAATCTCTCTCGTTAAATATCGCTGCATTTTTGCTCTATTAAGAAAAGTTGCTAAGCTCACAATATCCAGTTACAAATCACACGGGGATAAACTTTCTTATTAGTATCGCTAAACTGTCATAAAGTTTGATCGAACAATCAGCTAAGTCCTTTTTTTGTAAATCTTATTATAATTTTTTTCTTCTCCGCGTGATATATTGTAACGATAAAACACGTGCAGTGAGTGCACACTTTTATTCTGGCGCAAATAATGTTTATATTTTATAATTAAATTCCATGTAATTGCAAGTAATTTGATTAATGTAACATTTTGCACTTTAATCTACTTTGTAAAATACTAATACGTATAAATACGAATAAATTCAAATATATACCATATATAATATAATCGACTAAATTGTATATATCAATCCTTCGTATAAAATCACGTTCAAAATATTAGTCAAACACAGTAAAAAAAATTGTGTTAAATTTAACACATTTCACATGTCCCAATTATGTAATTAAATAACACACGTAATATGTGAAAAAATAACACAAAAAAATATAATATAAGCAAAAATTCGTACATTTTCATTTAAATGTGTTGTTTTAACACTTAAAAATAGTGAATATTAACTCAACAGACAAATGTCAAAATAACATAACGACAATATGTTATATTAACATAAGAGTATGTTAAAATTTTAACACAAAAATTTCTACACAAGATAATTTCAACAGAAATACGAAATGTTTTTTACCGTGAATATATTCAACGATCAATTGATTTCGTTGTAATATATAAAAGTATTAAATTCGCGATTTCGATTTATCACGATCGCCAAATTTACCGAATCATGATTACACGGCGCGGATTTAGATAAATGATAGCAAGTGGCTCTCTAGATAAACGGAACATCTGTAAAAGCCTAGACTTAAAGAGAGAGTCGAACCGTACCGTAAAAACGGGATCGGAAAGTACGAGCGGGAAATAGCTAATAATAAGGAGATGGAGTCGTGAAGCGAGTTCTGAAACGAAGCTGGAGACATATAAATCTCGGAACCCGGGATAAATCGCGACGCAATATCGAAGGATCCAATATATACTCGATGTATGGTATATACCCGGAGTCACAGCCGCAGGTTTGTTCCCCTTTGAATTTCTATCGCGTTCGAGAATAAAAAAAGCAACAACTATGACGTCGAGAAGCTTGTTTTATCATATCGCGACGTTTATCTCGCGGAATTATACGATCCGTGCATTTAATCTCATTTATCAAATAATTACAGCACGCTCGTGATTATGATTCATCGACCTCAGGCCAGCTGTTCAATCTAACCTCCCGAATATAATTGCCGAATTGCAATTTTGTCATATAATAGTAATATATACATCGAATTTGATTAATGTTGCCATTTGTTATTATAATATATACATTTACATATACGTACTAGATGTACATATAATTAGATGATAATGTAATTAATCAAAATTATTAGTACTATATATATGAGCAATTAATATTAATTTGCAATTTACCGGCTCCGGTATTCTTATTGTATACTTGCGTTTTGCACAGAAATCTTTCTACTAAATCAAATAAGAATTATTTAACAATATTTTATAATTTTTTTTATCATACAAAAGTGTCACGATGTTACGCGAGTCTTTTTCTTCGTGTGTTCATTTAAGTTAAAGTTTTGCATCGACAGTGATATAGTAATAAAATATTGAATGAACATTTTTCTTGCCCGAATGTACATGGAATACATATAGTCTTCTTTTATAAAAGAAATATAAAGATAGTCTTGGAAAACAGATGGCGGTCCATTTAAGCTTATATATCAGAGGGTTCAATTTGGAGAACAAATAACAATAAATTAATTCTCGAGCAGGAAATGTTACGGTAAGTAAATATTTGAGTGAAAAAGAACTGGAATTATATATCGAAATAAATATAAATTCATCCCTAAAATCCGTAAAGATGACGGGTATTCGTTTTATTTCCTATTAATTCGATATTTTACAGCAAATCGGTTGATCGAGTGCAATGAATGCACTTTGCGTTTACGGATCATTACGTGCAAAAGCCACGTCGTCCCCTTATAAGCGCAATTAAATATATCGAATTAATTGGTAATGACGTTTATTATTGAATCGAAATAGTATAATTGGTTGATATATACATATATATATATATATATATATATATATATATATGTATATATTATATATTACACATATTACGAGAACATAAACGCATCCTTTGCCGGCCCTTGCTTGTATATAATATATTTATTACGCGGATTTGCCGTGATTCACTGCTTCTATATACACATAGTAAAACTACGTGTGTATAAGAGAAAATTTAATCAAAATGAAACAGCTTGACGGGACGAGCGAGACACACAATGGTGTGTAAATAATAATAGACCGTTCTGTTCTCCGCGAGTCGCGTTTTCGATTTTCGCATAAATCAGGATTAGCGCATAACGCTAAATTATCATCTAAATACTTTTCACTCGCGGCGAACAGCTTAACATACCGATACAGTGTAAAGGTTGAATTTGCACAATAGACGATGACGCGATTTATCGGATTATCGCAATCGATCGGAGTAAATAAATTTTATTTTTTACGCGATAACGAACAGACCAACCGATTGTAAAATAGCATACGTAAATATAATATATATATATATATATATATATATATATATACACGTGTTTGTTTTGACACTTATGATTAAATTGTATAATAATGCGGGTACCGAATTTTTTAACAAGAAGCGATGAAACTATTTTCAAAGCCAATCAACTTCTCTAAAGTCACCTTGACTTTTCGACACGTTAAATCGGTTATCTGCGAATGATAAGAAGGTTACCCTGGCAATGAAATTCACAAGTATTAAAAACATGTGTCATATTTGTTTTCACGCGCCACGCGAGATCATCCCTCATGAATTTGTACAAGTTCGCTTTGCACAACCGTATACAAATATATACAACTGTATACGGCATATCAAAATTGATCAACGAACCGATACGCGTGTCGAGAAATAAAGAAATAACGTTAAAATAAATTGAACCGATTATTGTTTTCGAGAAGGCGCTATTGCATCTTGGTTAAAAAAAAAAAGCTAGATTCGCGACGCGAAGGAAAGGAGCCACTTACTTGTTGAATTTGCGGAGACTCCAGACGAGGAAGAACCGGCCCGTGGAAGAATCCTCTCGACCGTAGAATTTTCTTCGCGAATCTTTCGCGGAAAAATAAAGGGACGACGCACGGGGATGAAATTTCCTTTCTCAAGGCAGGACGTTAAGGTCTTCTGCGAAGAACGACTTTGCCGCCGATGACTTCGATCGAGCGGTCGAATGATCGAGAAATCGTCTCGGCGAGACGAGAAATGAGAAGAATCAATTCGGAAAGGGTGCAGAGGATGCGCCTTTAACAGGTGGCACGACGGCGGGAGTTCCTCACTGTCCAGAGTGCTAACGACGTGTGACGTCGACGCCTCGGTGCGAGAGGGCTTTATAGCCGGTCGGTGCCGCCGACTCGACTCGACTCGACCTCCACTCGGCAACTCGGTCTCTCTACTCGACTCGGCCTATCGCGACCTTCCTATCTGCTTAACATCTTTCTTGGCCCTATCGCACTGATTTTAGTGTCCTTACACCTTCCGAACCCAGCATCCCCCTCTCTTTCTCTCTCTCTCTCTCTCTCTTTCTTTCGCAACCCCCGTTTGCTCGTAGAGGAGAAAGGATCCATAAAGTATATGTGTGAGATTTCGTTCATCGATGTGTATTCACCCTTAAACATTTAAGGGTTCCACTTCTCTCTAAATGATTAAGCATTGACAGGCGATATCATTTTTATCAACAGTTTACAAGTATTGTACATTTATTTTAATGCGACTTTTTTTATAATTTTATATTGTTGTCATATCTGACAAATAACATTTATTCTCATATTGAAATTTTCCTCAAATTATTTTACGTTATTAATTTTTACGCAGAGAGAATTTTCTCTTAAGATTTACCCTGAAATTCATGGTAATCGTGGGACAATATTGGAAAAATTTTATGAGTTTCTCTGATTAAATTTACTACAATAAGATATAAAATATATTTGATTAATTTTACTACGTACATATTAATATTTATTTTGTAGTAATTATCAGAGAAGCTTTTATAAAATTCTTCATGTTGTCCCACGATTACCATGATCTCTGTGTATATAATCTATATTTTATAATAATAATAAAATTAAATATATTTTATAAATTTTCCTTTACACCTATATTTTCTATAGAAAATATTGAAGATAAACAAGCATCAATGATAAAGTATATAATTCGAAAAACTGATCTGCTCCGAAAAAAACAAATCAGTTTCTTTCATTCATTTTGACATTACGAATAAAGAAATACGAATATTATTGTGCATTTTTAAATAAATAATTTACGAATAATTTTACGAATAATTTACGAATAAAGAAATTCATCAAGGATCATTAAGAAGATTGCACAATATAAATTGAATTATTCTACATCTATTTAATGAAAAGTGTGTACTATTCGGGAAACGAGAGACCTGATAAGTATATACAAACATATACGATTTCCTCTGTAAATATACCTCTTATTAGCTTATTCATTGTGATTGAACAATTAACTAGATTATATCAAAGATATTTTCCCATGATTTTTTTTTACGCAAACCCCCACGGAAATATAAAAAATATATAATATTATATATTGACAACGTGGGACGAAATTACCAAAGAGATCGTGATAAGGAACGGTACGTCTTCTCCCTCTCTTCCTTCGATTATTTTTATTTGCCGTTTAGTAACAATACCCGTAAGAAAATAGCCGCAGCGTACAATAGTCTATTGTAAGAATGTTTCTATTTCAAAGTAAGCAAGCCCTCGATAAAAGAACAGATTGAAACGTAAATTATCAACAAGAATAGATAAATGGAGAGTGCACAAATAAATGCGCTACTAAATTATTTAATTTTATTATATGAGAAATATATTTGTCATTTTTCCTGCAAAACAAAATTGCACAATCGATAAATAAGATTACATATAATTTTATTAAAAATATAATTATTTATTTTAATTATTAAATTTTTATCACTATATTTTATTTTATTATTATATTTTACTTATAACTATTAAATATATATGTATAATTGTGTGTGCGGCTACCCGACATAAATAAAATATCGATTCTCAAATATCTACGTTCTCATTAAATAAAATAACGTTGAATATAAAAATAATGTAATAAAAAATGTATGATAATATTTATTTTAATAATAATGTTTGCACACACCGTCTACGTTTGTCTATATGGAAAGGTCCTAGCAGTGTGTTAATTATGGCAATGCAACATCTGTGCACAAGCGCGATCATGAAGTTGAACTAGAATTACGCCAGGATTCGTTCTAGTAGCATAATTCAATTATATTTTGAATATGGTAATGGAACATTCTAGTCTTGTTGAGAGAGATTTTATTATTTAATATTTTCCATCACATGTATCTAAGTACATATTCGCGAGAAACGTCATACGCGAGCATAATAACTGCAAATACGGAATTTGCGCGAAACTTTAATGGCATGCCCTGATATTATTAACGATGCTTAAATAAATATTAAATTACATTGCAACATATTTTCGTAAATCTTTCTTTTACGAAAAAGAAATAAATATAAAAATGCACAATAATATTACGTAGGAAAATAGATACCGCGAGACTATATGAGACATATTTTCCCTTTTGTCGAAATATAATAAAAAAAATTGTATAAAAAAAACATTTGCTTGTTTCGACTCATGAGAATAACACGCGTTATCGCAACGCGAACGATATAACAAAATGTGCAAATATTCATATGTAAGGATAATAAAATATCAAAAAATAAAGTTACGCGTGCGCATAGTTTTAGAAATAAACGCGTTCAAATAATATGAAAACAATATTTAGAGAAAGAAAAGATAAGAAAAGAAAATATTGTAAAGTTTATCGCAATAAAAATTTGTAGAAGGAAGAAAAAATATATTTTACGATTAATCAGGTAAGAGTCAAGACTCAACAAATTAAAAGATTATCCGATTTATATGCGAGGAGAGAACTTTCTCTTAGAACTTTATCCTAGAAAAATCGTAAAATCTCTAATTAATATTTACCACAAAAAATATTAATATCTATCACAATAAGATATAAAATATGTTTGATTAATTTTACTATATATACATAATAAAAGTTCCTATGTAGGTGCATAGTAATATTTTAAATATTAATCAGAGAAACATAAAATTCGTTTCCAATACTGTCCCACGATTGCCATAATTTTCCGAATAAATTCTAAGAGAAAATTCTCTCCGTGTGTAAACTCCATGTCATTCATTAATCCAACGGTCAATGATAAAGTCCACTTAAGGGCACGGGCGACGAATATATATATCATCAAAACCACGCTACTCGCCACCGTGAAATTCCACCCTAAAGTAATTAAGCAGCGCGTCATCGAAGTGCAACTTTATGATTGCGTCGTCCAACATCGTCCCGCGCGGCCATCTCTGCCATTAGCACTCCCATTCCACCCTAGAACTCTATTCTAGAGCTCTTGATATCGATATCAGAAACTGATATCAAGCGACGATACGGACAATCGATAGATATAATATTTTCAATTTTTTTCCGATCTGCCATCTGGCAATGATCGAAACATTCCTTTCTTTACGTTATCATCTGGGAAAAAATTTTTTATATTATTAACAATATAAAATTATATAGAAAGATAAATTTATACATATAATCGCAAAATTATATTTATATGAAATATGTCCATACATAATTAGATAAAAGTGCTTTCTATATACAATTATATAAAATATATATATATAATAAATAAGTATTTTTTCATATATATACATGTAAATATGTTTCATATATAATTTGACATAATTATATATGAACCCTTATAATTTATATATAAATTTATATAATTATGTATAAAAATAGACATATTTCACAAATATAATTTTACAATTATATGTATAATTATATAATTATATAATTATATCCTAAAAATTTTTTCCCGGACACCCTAAAGTGCTATAATTGTTTTCTGCTTATACATACAATATATACACAAAGAGAATAATATTCTCATAGAATTTACCCTCAAAATCATGATAATCATGGGACAATATGCTATTGCAATAATTTTATAAAAGTTCTCTAATTAATATTTTTACCGCAATAAAAAATATTATATTTATCACAATAAAATATTAAATATGTTTGATTAATTTTATTATGTGTAAATATAATAATATTTTCTATTGTGGTAATATTAATTCAGATGAGAAACTCTTATAAAATTCTCCAATATCATACTGTTCCATGATTTCCATGATTTTCGGGGTAAATTCTAAGAGAAAATTCTTTCCGTGTACTATACTCAACTTTAAGAAAATGATGTAAATAATATATCGCGATATAATTAAGAATAAGTCTAACAGTAAGTCAGACAATCAAATATTTATGACAAACGTTTGAAAAGTTGCATCGTTGTGTCTCGAAAAGTCAAAGTACTAGATCTCACAGTAGAACAACCAGTGGTCTGAACCGACGCTTGTGATCGAATCCCGTAAAATTCGCCGGCGAGAATTACGAGAAGGTACAGAACCAAATCTTGTAATTGAGAAAAGTACAAATAAGAAAAGCAACGTCGAGCAACACGATCTCATTAGCCATTTTCAAACAGTTTTTATATTTTATGCAAATTTGCAAAATATGAAATTAATCATCTGTTAATCTAATGTGTTCTATTCGCGATAAATATAGTATATCATGTTTATACTTTTTAAATCAGCATGCAAATTTTTCTTAGAAACTGCAACGTATTCGAAAAAATACAAAACAAATATCTTTCCATTCAGTATGTTTTAGACATGCACAGCATTCGCAAAGAATATAAAAGGAAGTATTAATTTAATTACAATTGTCGACGGTAAAACATATCGTGTGTCTGGGTATGAGATTACTTTACAAAAGACGAATACCCCATTTACGAAAAAGAAAGAAAATAAAAAAATAAAGAAAATAAAGAAAAGAGTAAAATATGCTCCCTCGTTCTTCTTCTAATAATAAAGAAATAAAATTGTTACAGTATCTTTCGTTATAACGAGAAATTTTGATTACCTCATTCGATATTATAATAAGGTAATATGATTCCAGCAAGATAACAAGAATAATTTAAAAGAATTACATTATCACTTGAGAACGAAATATTACAAAATATCTGCATATATAATTTCCTTCCTGTCTCTAGTTTGTCTAACCGCAATTTACTTTCACATTTATGAACCAATTTTCGTAAAACCGCTACCAAATTTTTCCTCATTTTCCGGGGAATAATCTTACGTGTTTTTATTTATTTCGTTCTTTTTTTAATTTAATGTCAATAAACACCCAATTTTGTCTCTTTGAAATTAAATTAAAAAAA